ATCATATATATTAATATGAATATAAAATTATATAAAATATTAATAAAAATTAATTTAATCATAATAAATTAATATTATTATAAAATACTGTGTGAAAAGGGGGAGTAAGATACCAACCTCAAGCACAACTGAAGTAGGAGTTGACACTGCTGGAAATCTAAACACTTGACACTTTTTTCCCTCTTTTTTTGAAGTTTTAAGGTTTAGATATAAAGTATGAAAGACAATGGGAACACCCCAAGTTTTCGTTTCTAGTAACGAATGAAGAAGGATTTAGTAAGGTGTATATCAGGTAATTAGGATTTTTTTTTTTAATCAAGAAAATCGGTTTTGCTAAAACTTGGGAAGTAATGAATGGTCTACTTGACTCAATATTAGAGTTGAATAAAAAAATAATAGAAAATTGTAAATAAAACTTAGTATTATACAATCAAAATTATACTGAACTACAAAATGGATGTGCTTCTTCTGTATTCAAGCCGGAGGGACTGCTGATCTTTGCAATTCTAACAATTTCAATTGGTCAATTACTCATTATTAATGAATTAATTACTTTACGGCAAGCACACCATCAAAAAGGAGTTGAGGGCAGAAGTTCATTTACAGTTTCACACCAAACTTGTTTTCTACAAAGATGGAAATCTTATGACATATGTCTGTCTTCCCTTGAAGACGGATTATGGAGAAAAAATTAGGGATGAAAATACTTGTAAAATTAATTTTTAACTAAAGGTGAAGAAGGAAAGTGAGGTAATTACACCATAATTACACCAATTCCCTTTGGCTAATTAAGAGTTCTCCCAAGTTATAGGTCTAATATTCTGTAATTAGTAGAATCGATTTTCCCTACTTTCTACGCTGGATTTCCCATGTGTTTACCTGTATATACGGTATATGTGAATAGAAAAAAGTATAACAGATTCAATTTCTCATACTTTATCACCATTATAGCATAAGATGCCATCACCTGCTGTGCCACTATTTGCAAGTTTAGCATGGCAGTTTATTTGTCAAAATGAATCAGGGCAATGCCAACTTAGATGTAGGAAATCCTTAATGTTTTTTAATAAAATTTTTTAGGAAAATGATTAGTCATCAATTTAATTATTAAAATTTGTAATTTAAAAATTTTTTTTAATTTAAATTAAAAATAATAATAATTTTTAATAAATATAATATAAAAAAAAACTTCAAACAATAATTCACCCTCGTTTTTGTCATGGTGGTCTAGTCCTAGACATTCTATTGCCGTGTCACTTTTTCTTTGGGGCATCACCTATTCAAATAATGTTTCCCTTGTCGACATTTTTTTTTACCATTATTTATTCCAATAATGTTTTCCTAGTCGACTTTTAAACAAGTTACTGGGACCCTCGAAAGAAACAAGCTAGGATCACCAAATTTTTTGTTTTTACCTTTAAGCAAAGCAGAGGACAAGCTCAAGCATGAGCAGCTGCAAGCGGAGAACTGTAGAGGTAATAACATAGGTTACATAAAAAATTAATCGTGCACGATGACCATATGTGTAATTAGCAAAAGTTTATCGTGCAAGTACCGTTAAAGTTCACATGAGAGCAACTTGCGAGTTGCGAACTTGTATCGAAGTTTCTCTTCCTGGATAAAGTCTTCCTTTATTAATCACGAGTTCTCTTACCTTTTAATTATTATATTATCATAGGCTGAAAACCAGTTATCTGTTTATTTAAATGAAATGAATTTGATTCTTTTTTAAATAAAATTTTGAATTTAAATTTTATGAATGAAAAAATAAATATTATAAAAATATTTTTAAATTGAGTCTATCGCAACTCGATTTTAAATTAATTGAATCCAATATTATTATCACATATTAAAAAATTAATATAAAAAAAAATCATAGACTAAGAACTGAATGCTTCTGGAACAATTTAATTAGGTGCATGTGCCTACCATCATTTGTATGTGTCATTAAAAAGAAAAATAATTGTGAGAAAACTTTTTTATATAATTTTTTAATAACTTTTGTACTCTATTGAGAATAAATAATATTGTATGCAATTTTTTACAATATTTTTTCGGTTGATAATCATGATGTTTTTGGGTTAATTTATATATACTTGAATTAAGAAATTCACCAAATATTTATTTTTTTATTGATCTCTTAAAAACTCATACCTTAATAAATAAGATGAAAAATAAACTTTATTGCCAATTGAATCTTAATTCTTTGAATTTTTTTACAATATGCATATACTTATTTTATGACAGATAAAAATTATAAATAAAAAAATAATTGATGCACACTTAATTTGATACATTTTCTAATATTCGTCCTAATTTAGTTATTAAAATATAAAATAAATACATTTAATCTAACAAGTTCCTACATCATTTATATATAACTATATTTTTAAATTTATTTATTTTTTAATTTTAAATTAAATAATAATAATTTTTTAAATAAATATATTATATAATATATTAAATCAAAATATATACTAATCATTTTTTAAAAATTATAAAAAAATTTACAAGCATCATTATCCTATATAATAATAATATGCATGATGTCTTACCATAATATGAAAACAAAGTCACTAAAAAAAGGTGTTTGTGAAGTCTCTTTCATTAATTTCTTTGGTTACACATTGTCACCAAACTGGATATGTGGTCTTACTTTGGATTTTAGGAAAGGATAATTATTCCAACCGCTAAAAAAGAACCTAAAATTCCAAGTTTCCAATAACAGATGATTGGGAGGAAAAAATGAAACAAAAATTAAAGACAGATGGTTGACTCCAATTCTCCATAGTATGACGCGTTTTTGAGTAGGAGAAATTGCGTTCACAATATAAATAAAACCAAACAAGTCAAACTTAAAACAAGAGACGTGGTTCAAAAAAAAAAAAAAGTCAAATGCCAATTTTGGTCCCCCAAGTTTAAAATTTTGTACAGTTTAGTTTCTCATCTTTTTCATACATTTTTTAGTCCTCAATTATGAATAATACATTTTTTTAATTTTTTAATTAGTTAATTTATTAAATTTATCTATATATACATATTTTTAATCTCTTAATTTTAAAATTTTACATGATTTTTATTCTTAAATTTAAAAGTTCACAGACTAAAAATATACACATGGATATACTTGATGGAATAATTGATGAAATGATTAAAAAAATATTTTTTTTATAATTGAGATACCAAAAAAGAGAAAAAAAAGTTAAGGGACTAAAACTATATAAAATTCAAAGTTTAAATACCAAAATTGGCATTTAACCAAAAAAAAAAAAAAAAACACGAGGCCAGGGGCCATTCCCTTATTTTGACGTCTTCCCTTATTTTGACGTCTTCCTCCTCCCCACCTTACAACTGGATACACGCATAGTTAACCATTTTGTAAATGTGGTTGGTGTATTTTCTGCCCTTTTGGATACGAAGTCTGATGTCTGCTAAACATGTTTGACCAATACTATTGCGTTTTAATGTGTTTCTTATGTATTTTTTTTAGAATAGTGGGATCCAACCGAAGAAGACAATGAAAAGGAATTAATTTATATTCCGTGTTGAATATTATATCATCAATATCTTTAAGATTTCAAGATTTTTTTGAGTACATAAAAAGGAGATGTTATAAGCATAATTTTTTTATATAATTTTTACATGTGATTAAAATAGTAATGTATTTAATATTATGAGTTCTATATAAATAAAAAAAATCAATCATTTAAATGATATCTCAAGTTATATAAAAAAATAATACAAAAAAATTATTTTAAAATCATTTCCTTAGGTAAAATAGAAAATTTCAAACTCCCTTAAAAACAGCTGTGTCAGCAGTTGGTATATTTAAATTAAGAAGAATAAAGTAAGTAAATTAGAAAAAAAAATAAAGTAAATAATTCTCCTCTTTTTTCTTTTAATTCTTTTAATAACTAAATAGGGATTTTTTTTGTTTACTCCCCTCTACTTTCATCAACCGAAACATATTATAAAAAAGCACTTTTATTGTCTAATTCCTTCTGGCATCTAATTTTATATTTGAAGTTCAAAAATAAATTTCTAAAAATAGAAAAACGCCACGTCAAAGAGTTATGTCTTATTACTTTTAGCAACTTAATTAATTTATTTATTTTTGAAGTTTAAAAATAAATTTTGAAAATTAAAAATTAAAAGGATTTATTGTTTTTCCATATAAATAATATTAAATTATAAAATATAAACGGTTAAAGGGGAGAAGAGTTTTCAATAATAAAAGACTCATATTTCATTAAACAATTGTTATTGTACAATTCAAACAACCTATACCACAACAATTTTTTTCATATTAAGATAACGAACAAGGGATTTTTAGAATTACCAGGCAAAAATCCACAGTCCCTTAAAATAAATATATTTTAGACAAATTTAAAAGCCCAACACGTCAACATACCCTAAATTATACCCATGAGCGAGTGCATGAGTTGGTTAGGATTTTTTCAGCTTAACCAAAGGTCTTGAGTTCAAGTCTTAGGAATGCAGCTCCATTAAAACTCATGAGGGAGAGTTTTGCCGCCCAGCGAGTCCTGCCCGGCTTGAATCCGGATTAATCAGTTGCCTATTGAGCTTCTGGATACCAGATGATCATACCAA